TGAAGTCAAATCCTTCAGCTGAAAACTGGCATTTACTTATCACATTGACGCTCCGCTCCGGGCCCCTGCCATAGGCAGCACCACTCACTGTTTTTGAACCAGATGTGGTGGCTTTGATAAACAACCTTTGACATCTTTTCCATTCTGCTCAGATTTCTGAATGTTGAAGGAAAAAGTATCTTATGTTATCATAGGTACAGCAGATAGTATCAGGATTAGATCTTGGAGTATTTAATAGAGCGCTTGGCTTCAGTGTTCTTTATGTGGATCCTTCAGCTCTTCTCAGATAAAAGAGAAAAACTGAGCGACGGTCCATCCTCATGTGACGTATAAAACTCTGTTTCTGTTGTGCAGCTTGCCATGGGAATATGTTGATACCTAAGGCTCTCAGTCCATCAAGACTTGCACAGACTTTTTTATTTTTTTAATGAACGGGATTGAATATTCCTTAATAAAGGGGACTTTGTGATTTGATTTTGGTTGTCTGGCACTGGGAATGGATTTGACGTGATATATCATGCCCACAGTTGTAATGCAAATTCAGAGGGGTTTTTTTTTTTCAGTATGGTAGTGGCACTTAAGATCAAATTTGAACGCAGCAGGTGTAATTTTCACTATTTCATTGACTCTGTATCCCAGTTTCTGCTTTCTAGTCTACAGTAATAAGCAACTTATTTTAATGCTTATTTTATTTTCACAGTTTATATTACCTCTAGGAAGTTATGATACGAAATCTTTGGAGGGAGATGTTATTAATCGTATAGTGGTCTCGTGAACCTTAATTTCTGGTCTGATTTTGCAGAAGCAGGCATGAAAGCTTTACTATGTAATGTGGTCTGAACCGAGATAATTGTTTGTGGGTGTTTTTTTAGAATTTTATTTTGTTTTAGGATAAGCCTAAGTATTTATGACTGTTGAACTCTTGGCAGAAAGTACAGATTCAGGAAAATTAAGCCCATAATGTTCCATTTGTCTCATCATTGCATAGATATCAGTTTCCTGCACTGAGCCATCTCTGACTCTGTTGAGCTGTCACACAACTGCCACTTTCAATATTGGAGATAGTTTATAATAGAGTCAGTGTATCTTCCACTTCTAAGGCCTAATCAGAAATGGTACTTTCTGCTTGACAGGCTTCTGTATAACAATGTCTTTCCCAAACACATAGCTCCTGCGATGCAGAGCACATGCAATTCTGGCTATTGAGATTCTAAAGACAAAGAATACTTTAAACCATTTTAATATCGGTACAGAAAATGCTACTCATCTTAAACCACAGGGAAAATTGAACCTACACTGCAGAGCAGGTAGCCCATTATAAACAGTGGTTCTGATTATCTAGATCAGGCAAGGCCAACCAGGTTGCCAGGTGGTATTTTGGGACCTGGAGAAGTATAAGGGAGACTGCGAGACGAACACATTTCCCAGTCAGTGTAGGTTTCAGCCATGCCTGCAGTTCATTTGAACTCTGCTGAGTACCCATTAGATAAGAGATGTGTGAAATACACAGACAGGTTTTACTTTAAAAAAAAGTTTTACTTTAAAAAAAAAAAAATGTTGTGAGCTTTTTTTTCCCCCTCCTTTATATGGGAAAAAGGAAGTTAATTTGTCCGAGCTGGCAGTCCATTCATATTTTGAATCACGTTGCTTGCTTGAGCTTCTTTTACTTATGTCCCCAATACCCTTATAGTGAAAGGCAAAAAAAAAGCATCTGGATTTAGTGTGTATAGGCAGTGCCTCGACAATGACATTGTTCATACCAAGGAGAATCCTCATGTGGTTATCCCTCTGCTTTCTCTGATGTAGGCTCTGTTCTAACTCTGCGCTTCACATGGTTGCTCTGAACAGAAGTGGCAGGTGGGAAAATGAACAGTTTGTCAAAGGGCATCTGGTCTGGGAGTGAGTCGACCATGCTCTTTTTACCACCAGCAAGATATGATTCTTCACAGCATGATTCTTCTGATGTTAATAAGGATGGCTGTGGAAAGCTAGACTCTAATTCGAGGTTTTTTGATTGACTCTTAATGATATCTCATGCACTGGCCAGTAGCATCCAATCAATGGCAGGCACTTCTGACCTTCCTTCCCTTTCTTGTTAAGTAATTTCAGCCGTGTAACAGCAATAAGACCCGACAGGCAGTGAATTTCCTGGGTGATAATTGCATTTCTTCGGTGGCTCAGATCTTCACCCTGCAGCATCCTGCCTCACAGCATATAAGCCATGTAGCTGACTCCATTTTGCAGTCTTTTGGCACCTCGGTGTTGCGCTTGACTACTTCTAGGGTAAGAAGGGCAAAATGTTACGCTGGCGTAATGATTCTGGATTTAAACACAGAAGAAGTGAGAAGTAGATACGTCTGATTTGATGTATTGGCCTGCTGCCAAATTAACATTGTGCATTTTCCCTTTAATGTGCTTTGAAATCTCTCTCAATAGGCTCTCCGTCAACTATCTAGAAAGTAGCAGTAATTAAGGGGATTACTTATTAATTTTAGCAGCTTATAAATGAGGACTCCATCGCTATCATAGTTATCTCTGTGCAATATGATAGAGTGAGCTGACAGAGCCCCTTTTCCTGCTAAACGAGTATCCTAAAACCACCCTGAAGGCTTTGAGGCTTTATTAGAATACAGAGTGAAACAAATTGTAGCAGAGAAAAATCAGATCTGGAAGAGGCAGAATAAAGGGTTTGAAATCAACCTTCCTTCATCAAGATTGCGTTCTTCAAGCCTGCTGTCATCCAGCAGTTCTTCAGTGGCTTCTTGGGTTGCAAGAAACTTTCCAAGGTCCCCTAGGAAAAGCATTTTTTTTTTTTCTCCTCCAGTGCCTTGAGATGTGGGTTTACGTCTGCTGCCTGCTCCCGCAGGATCCGCAGGCTCCGCGCTGGCTGTGTCCCTTCCCACGCAGGCTGTGCCGGAGGCCGGGCCGGCCCAGCGAGCCCGTAGCGCTCAGAGACGGAGCAGCGTCACCCTCCTCCCTGACCCAAAATGTAGCAAACGGGCTGCCACCCTCTGCTTGCAGAAAAAGGCTGCTGTGAACACAGCAAAACAGTTCTCTTCCATCACATATTTCTATTGTGACAATTAGTCCTGATCAACAAGAGCCACCTGCAGATATTCTTTGTCTTTAAATATTTTCCCTTGGTCCAACATTAATGTAATAAAATATATTCTGGCACACTTAGATTACAAGAGACCCATTTTTTTACCTCGCCTTCTACATACGGATTTTTTTTTTCCCTTGAGGGCCATTTTATTGTGAATGACTTGAGGCAAGTGAAATCATCACTTAAAATACAAGGTTAAAAAAAAAATTACACTCCTGTAAAAATTAATGTGAATGATTGTGCCTGCTTAAGTTTTTTTTATTAAAAAAAAAAGCCCTTTAAAATAATAAATAGCCCTCACCTGAAGCCTCTAATTACAGCCAGTAGCATTTACCACATCACTAAATTGCAGAACAGTTAAGCCTCACACAAAACTGTGTGATTCTTTATTGTGTAGGCCTGAAGCATATGTTAGCAAAGTCGCTGCTATTTCCCTCATGATTTCTTTTTTCCTCTCATATTTTTGGACACGGGTTGCATGGTTGGATTTTTTTCGGTAACATTTATTTACAAAAGCTAATTAGACTTGTTGCTATCAATAGCCTCTAACAGAGCTCTTAAGAACAAACTGCACGGCAAATTGACATTGTGTCCTTGTTAAATCAACTCCTGCTGAGTGGGTATGATTTACATATTGATTACTTCACTTCCTTGATTGCCCTTTTGCAGTGAAATAGCGGGTAGGGAATGGTGGGGAGCAGAGGTGTGAAAGAAGGGAATATTGTGTCCTACTAGAGACTCTATGTTGGGAAAACAAGTTTCCCAAGCTTTGCCCTTGAGCAGTGCGTGCCAGAGCGGGAAGGTCCCAACACGCAGCAGGACAAAGGACTCCTGCACCTGGGGCAGAAGCCAGCAGGGAAGGCAGCTGCAGGTCAGCTTTGTGTCCCCACACTGGGGTCCCTGGGGCTGCGGTTAAAGTCTTCCCTTCTTTCCTTTCCCTTCCCTTGTCCCTTTGTGGGGACAAACTTTTTAGCAGGGCCTGCTGCGACAGGAGAAGGGAGAATGGTTTTAAACTAAAAGAGGGGAGATTCAGACTAGATAGAAGGAAGAAATTTTTTATGATGAGGGTGGTGAAACACTGGCACAGGTTGCCCAGAGAGGTGGTAGATGCCCCATCCCTGGGAACATTCAAGGTCACGTTGGACGGGGCTCTGAGCAACCTGATTTAGCTGAAGGTGTCTCTGCCCATGGCAGTAGGTTGGACTAGATGACCTTTAAAGGTCCCTTCTAACCCAAACTATTCTATGATTCTTCCCCAGCTTGTCCGCTACAGCTCGGAAGGCGTCCTGCAGCTGGGGCCGCTGGGCTCCACGGCCTTTCTGCCTGACTCCAAATGCCTCGTTGACGACGGGAAGGGCAGGACACCAACTCTGAAGAAGTGCGAAGATGTCCTGAGGCCAGCACAGAGGTTCTGGGATTTCACACAGGTACGGAAGAGCTCAGGGAGCCTTGCAGAGATAAATTGGAGAGGAATGCC